CAGATGGTTTACAGGCAAAAGGATCTTCGTGAGACACGCGAGTGGGATGGCTGCGAGAGGGTGCAATTGATACACTACGATATAGAATGTCACGATGTTGACGATTATCACGACATCCGCTTGTCCTATAACTCTTGTAAAGCGCGATTTTGGTTATGCATCTGCGTGGGCATGCGGGTGGGCAGAGCTATACGGGCAAAGCCATTCTGCCATAAAAAAAAAAGACTCGCAGACACGTTCCCATCTCTGCCAGCACATTTTTTTGTTCGCTCCGCTGCGGATTAACACGGAGGCTTTCGTGACAAGATTATCCACAATCAAGGTTTCCCCACGGCCCAGGCGGAGGTAATTAGCACTGGGAAACCCAGAGGCTGGTAGGTGGCCCAGATACAGGGCTCAGAAGAAGAGGGGGGGGGGAGCGAATGGGACTGGGCACCCCGCGTCCAACCCCATGGCGTGCCAACCACCGTGCCACATGCACCCCACTGGTTACAGGAATTGATATTCAATGTCCGCGTGCGGGGGGCTTTCTGTGCCCCCAGGCAGTCTCACCGGGGTGGGGGGGGGGGCAGTGCCGGATTAAGCTAGTGCGGGGCTTGTAGCGTATGTTATAAAGGGGCCCTAAAAAAATAACACTTAAATATTAAAACACACATTTTTAACTTGGAAAGTAAAGTAATTGCATTTTTAAAATTAGCTATACAGCCAGATAACACGACAAATCGCTAACCTTAAACACCCGGTCGTTCGTAAAAGTCGAAGGCGGTATAGTACTATAGTAATAGAGCAAGTGCAGAATCACTGAAGCGGAATTGATAGCTTGAAAGCGTTTAGCGCGGGGCCCTTGAAAGTGCGGGACCCGTAGCTACTACATATGTAGCTAATTGATATGTAGCTACTGTTGCTACTACGATAATCCGGCATTGCGGGGGGGGGGGTGGATGTTCCAGGGCTCCAGAAAAGGAATATTGGCGTAGGTGCCAGCTGTCTGTCGCACAGTGCAGCGGTGGTGTGCCGTCACGCGCACCGCAAAACGTGCCCGCCACATTAGGGCGCGTGGGTTGACGCCCGGCATTCGCACGGACTGCCCGATGGCCCAGTCAGAGGCTGGCCGGTTTTGTTTCGAATTCCTACTCAACGCCTGTCCACCCAGCAGTATCAATTGGCGGTTCGCCGCACTTCCGATGAGCACGGTTGACTACGTAAGGCGCGAAAGAAGTTGAACATACATATATACATAGGCTCACACAGAGACCCATAGTCCTTCCCATGCGCCACAGGCCGGAGTAAGATTAAACGAGAGGAAGGGAGACACGGGGTGAGACAGACACGGGGTGACAGAGACATGGGGTGAGACAGAGACACGGGGTGAGACAGAGACACGGGGCGAGTGAGGTGAGTGGTGCGTTAGGGAGTCGATGAAGAGGAAGTGAGACACGGGGTGACAGAGACACGGGGTGAGACAGAGACACGGGGTGAGACAGAGACACGGGGCGAGTGAGGTGAGTGGTGCGTTAGGGAGTCGATGAAGAGGAAATGAGACACGGGGTGACAGAGACACGGGGTGAGACAGAGACACGGGGTGAGACAGAGACACGGGGCGAGTGAGGTGAGTGGTGCGTTAGGGAGTCGATGAAGAGGAAGTGAGACACGGGGTGACAGAGACACGGGGTGAGACAGAGACACGGGGTGACAGAGACACGGGGTGAGTCAGAGACACGGGGCGAGCGAGGTGAAGAGGCTCGACAACGGGTTTGGTGATGATGATGATGCTGACAGAGAGCAGCAATGACAGCACAGGCGAGAAGACAATGCAGCGAAGGTCAGGGGGTAACCAGGTCGCATGGTAATTGGACGACGGTGATGTCGCGATTGGTGGCTAAGCCTACATTGGTGAATGAAGTGGGGATTGTGAAGAGTGAGCATTTTTGGTCAATTCTATTACTTTTAATTTCGCACGAAATAACGCAACGTCGAGGAGCGTGGTCAAAATCCATCGCTATGCTGTACGTGCACGCTTGCTTCGAGGTCTGCGCTCCCTGCCTTCGTCCACAACAAGCGGTGAAGTATGGTCAATTACCTCCCGACAAGGTGGGGGGGGGGGTAGGTGGGGGGGGGGGGGGGATTTTATTTGACCGTGCAACGCAGTGGATTGCCAAAATAAACAGCTGCGAGGCGAGTTCGCGTGTCATTTGAGCACAACTCCACGACTTCGGGAATCCCACAACACACCTGCTGTGATGTTAACTACCTCGCCTGGTCTACAGGAGGTTGTCGGTCCGCCGATCCCGACCTTAAAGGGGTGGTGGTGGGGGGGGGAGTAGTTGGGGGGGGGGTTGTAAGGGGTGGTGGGAGCATTTATTTTGGAGAAATTGATTTTGCTGTCCTGGTCAACTTGCTAACAAGGTAGCCCAACGGCAGCCTATAGCACCTGGTATGCATGGCAGTCACCCTCATCCAGGTAACAATCCAGACTCAATCCCCCCCCCCCAATGGCTTGGCTTTCGATATCTGATTAGATTGGCACGTTCCTGGTGATAAAGTAATACCGTACTTACAACAAGTGTTGAATGTCACGCGAACAATCCGTATTTCACATCAAAGCCTTGCCGGCGCGTGTGTCAAGAAACGCGCTAACGGAGCCAGAGCGCGTGTCCGGAGAGGTTGACCACGTGTTCGGAGAGGTTGACCACGTGTTCGGAGAGGTTGACAACGTGTCCGGAGAGGTTGACCACGTGTCCGGAGAGGTTGACCACGTGTCCGGAGAGGTTGACCACGTGTCCGGAGAGGTTGACAACGTGTCCGGAGAGGTTGACCACGTGTCCGGAGAGGTTGACCACGTGTCCGGAGAGGTTCACCACGTGTCCGGAGAGGTTGACCACGTGTCCGGAGAGGTTGACCACGTGTCCGGAGAGGTTGACCACGTGTCCGGAGAGGCTGACCACGTGTTCGGAGAGGTTGACCACGTGTCCGGAGAGGTTGACCACGTGTCCGGAGAGGTTGACCACGTGTCCGGAGAGGTTGACCACGTGTCCGGAGAGGTTGATCACGTGTCCGGAGAGGTTGACCACGTGTTCGGAGAGGTTGACCACGTGTCCGGAGAGGTTCATCAAGTGGTCGGGGTGGCAAAGCCACGTGCCCGTCTGCGGAAACTACGGTGGTCGTAACCGCAGACCATGGCCCCGCGTTCGTTTGGCAACGCGATGACGACGCCGCTTGCTGAGATCACGAGGCAGGGCCACACTTGCATCATCAGGTCAAGTCCGTGGCAATGGCCTCATTTGAATTGTTTGGCATTGTTGTTGCACCGCGTGGGAGCCGCTAGCCTCCACCGCCTCAACTTCACCACCACCTCCACCAAGCCTCAACCTCAACTCCATCACTCCACCACCTCAACCTTAACTCCACCTCTACCACCTCAACCACCATCTCCACCACCTCAACCTCAACTCCACCACCAACCTCAACTCCACCACCTCAATCTCAACCACCATTGCCACCACCTCAACTTGAACTCCACCACCAACCTGAACTCCACCCCCTCAACTACCACTCCACCACCTCAACCACCACTCCACCACCACCTCCACCAAACCTCAACTCCATCACTCTGCCACCTCAACGTTAACTCCACCTCCACCAACTCAACCACCATCACCACCACCACCTCAACTCTACCACCTCCAGCTCGACCACCTCAACTCAACCACCTCAACCACCATCTCCAACACCTGAACTCCACCACCGCAACTCCACCACCTCAACTCCCACCACGTCAACCACCATCACTCCACCACCTCCACCACCTCAACTCCCACCACCTCCACCTCATTGCGCACCTCAGGTCGGCACGGTTGACTACGCATGGTGGGCACAGAGGAGGTTGAACGTGCGAGCCCGGCGTTTCGCTCTGCGTGCCAAAGGAGCTTCTTCGCTTCCTGGACGTTTTTTTTTCTTTTTTGTTGTCGTCTTCTTCTTCTTTTAGTTTAGCTCCTGGAGAGAAGCTCCCGGCATCGCGAGGTGTAAAACGTCGGACGTCGCGCCGAGCGATAGGCACAGCCTGTAAAAGCCACCACATCTCCACCACTGCATCCCGCCCAGGGGTAGCAGCGCGCCAGTGAATGTATCGCATCGCCACTGCCAGCCCCGCGCTCCCTTTAACGGAGGAGGAGGAGGAAGGGCAAATCGACACGGACTCTCTCTCCCTGTCTCTCTCTCTCTCTCACACGAGGCCCTCTCGTCGTGGACAGCAGCAGACCTCGACATTGGCGGCATCGATCTCCTGAAACGCGTCCGTTACTTTTGGCTATAGCCCATCGACATTCACGGCTCAGCCATCGAATACGGACGTCGGTGGTTATCGCGTCGTAGGGCGCGTTCAGATGCGTTTCTGCGGCCGTCTGGAACGCTCTCTTCCTTCCGATATAAATTTACAAAAAAAGCACTTTTAAATCGTCTAGATTGACAAACTCATTTTCTTTAGAACTGCTTTTCGTGTTTAGTTTGTTGTCCTTCCCCCCGCACCTCTGATGAGCGCGGTTCGCTACGTACAGTGCGAAAGAAGTTCAATGAAAAAATACAAAAAGTCCCCCGTATAGCCTTAGCAGACTGTTGGGGCAAGTGCTGTTAGCGAGCAGCACCTGTGAAGGCCGGAACGGCACACGAGGGGGTGGGTGGCCAGAACCACGCCCGACCGCCTTTGTCTCCCCAGTGGCGATGTTTACACACCGCACCAGGTACTCATTTAAGGCTGAGTCGACCCAGGGGAGGCCCAGTACCGGTTAAAATAATCGTCGCCGGTGTTGGCCGTGAGCGGGAATCGAACTCGGCTCGCCGGGTTCATAGCGCAGCGCGCTAACCGCTACACCACCGCTCCCCAACGAGTACCCCCCCCCCCCCCAAACACACACACACAGACACCATCGACTCAGCTGACGCACGAGAGTGCACGAACGACGCATCCGCAAGCCGCGTGCACGCGCGTTGCTCGCCTCTCTCACCAGCGTGAAGGGCGTGTTGAGGGTGGTGATCATGATGTCGGCGATGGCCAAGTTCACGATGAACATGCTGGTCGCCGACTGCATCCGCTTGTTCTTGATCACCACGTGGCACACGAGCGCGTTGCCGAACAGCGAGATGACGATGATCACCGAGTAGGCGACGATGAGCAGCGCCTTGACGGTGCCGTCCTGTCGCACGGAGCTCGCGGCCAGACCCTTGAGCTTCTCGATTGAGAAGTCCGCAGCAGCCGCTGCAGCCGCTGCAGCCGCCGCCGCCGCCGCCGCTGCTGTGGCCACTGCGATGCCGCCCGTGCCGTTGTTGCTGTCGACAGAGCCCGAAGGGTCGGACGGGCCGAAGTTGGCGCCCGTGGTCAGGGCGGCGTCGGAGGGCAAGGAGCCGCCGCCGACGACGCCGACGACGCCGACGACGACGGAGAACTTGGCGACGAGAGACGCGTTCCCATCGCCGCCCGTGGCAGGGCCGAGCCCGGCGTGAGGCGTGTGGTAGGGCAGAGCGTGCCACAGATTGTGGAGGAATTCCACCATGGCTGGTGAAAGGGCGCGACCCCGGGGGGCTGGTTGTGTGTGTGTGTGCGTGCGTGGTTGTTAAGATTGAAGAGGGTTGTTGTTGTTGTTTGTTTGTTAGGAACGACCGCAGACAGACAAAGTCAGGCTGGGGGGGGGGGGTGATTGACAACGGGCAGACCGAGGGGCAAAGAGATGGAGCCGCGCGCGCGCACGTGGAGATGTCGCAGATGACGACCGGGGAGACACGCGCAGAGAGACAGGGCAGCGAATGGAGGATGAGCAGGCCTGATGGAAGGTGCTCACACGACCATGTGTTCAATGTAAAAGAGGGATAATCAAAAGAACGAATCAAAGGCATGCAGTTCCCAGGTTATCGGTTTGATAGGGAATCAATTTATTCCGTTGCTCTTTAGCAAATCCCTGCGCCCTCAATGATTGTATTAATTGATGCAATGGAGGACATGCATATGTATGCCCTGGGTAATGAGGAGTGGGATATATATTGTACGAAGAAGGTATGAATATATATTCTTGAATCCTTCTATTCAAAAGCCTTTTCACTCAAATAAAATGCGACTGGATCGGACGACAAACGACCAATTATGAATGTGCAGTCAGAGTGACAGGGCCCCAAAGAAACCTTTAAACACAGTCAGGGAAATATCCTGGTGACGCCCATCGATGTACAAAGGCACAGGCACGTCAAGGCAAGAAATGTACAGACGCTGAGAGGGATATACAGGACCCAGAGACACTTAGACAGACACGGAGACAAAAACAAACAAACACACGCAACACTAATGACGATGAAACAGCGAGAGAGGGAGAGGCACCGGGGAAAGATAGACGGACAAAATGAAACAACACGGTCACACGTTAACACCTGCGCTGCTGAGACACGGATGGACATGCAACTTCGACGGACGAAGTCCGCTCCCCCCTCCCCCTCTCCCCCAAGAGCTATCGGATAGACGGATGCAGCAACACAAACACAGGCGCGCGCGCGCGGATGCATGCGTGGTAGAGACTCAGACACCCACACGCAGAGATACAGACGCGGAGCCGCGCCGCGAGCGGGGCTATATAGCCGCCGCGCGTCACCTGGGGGCCGCGGGAGCCCCCCCCCCACCCCCCCCCCACCCCACGGATGGTCAGGAGTCGACACGCAAAGCACAATGGGCGCCTTTAATTGAAACGGCACCGAATTACGCGCAACGGCGGAAAGGGGCCGCGCAGGCAACGCAACGATCCATCCAGTGGCTTCCTCGAGAGAAGCGGAACACCTCGAGACGGCTGCCCCCCTCCTCCCTCCTCCCTCCCAACACCCCCCGGAGCGAAAGATGAGCGCCACTACCAGAAAACAATAAACATATAGCGCTCGTCAAAGCGAGCGGGAGCGTTCGCGCAAGATGAACTTTGCGCAATACGGCCACGGTCGATGTGATGATGATGATGCTGATGCGCGCTACGCTGGTGCAAGGAACGCTGTGAACACAGCGCCGCTAGACTGCACGCTCTCTGCGCATTGCATGGAGGTGCTACGAGAGTGTGAGAGAGAGGGTGAGACGGAGGAGAGAGAGAGAGAAAGGGGGTGGGGGGTGAAGGATTGCGGTTGGATTTTATATCCGAATGTGACCGGGGTGCTGAGAATGGGTGGGGCCGTGGGGGTGTTACAGCGAGCGGACCACGTTGCAACGACGATTCTTGTGAGCATTGCCACTGGGTGCGGGCACGAGAATATATGAACCGGTCCTTGGGCCTCCCCTAGGTCGACTCAGCCTCAAACGAGTGCGATGTGTTAAATCGTTGCCACAAGGGAGACAAAGGCGGCCGTGCGTGGCGGCGGACATCCCAGCCCCCTCGTGCCGGCCTTCATAGGTGCTCGCTAACAATACTTTGCCCCAACGGTGCGTTTAAGGCTATGACGGGGGATCTTTGTATGCAATGCATTGGGGAGCGGTGGTGTAGTGGTGAGATGGCTGAGCTACGACCCCACCACCCCAGGCGATCCCAATTCAATTCCCGCACACTGGCCAACATTGGTGACGATAATCTAACACCGGTCCCGTGTCTCCCCCTAGGTCGGCTTAGCCTAAAAACGAATACCCCGGTGTGTGGCGGCGGTGGTGGTGGTGGTGGTATTGGAAGAGCATCAGCATTGGGGAGACAAAGGTGGCCGGGCTTGCTGCTGGCTACACCATCTTTCTTCGTGCTCTTGTGCCGGCCTTCATAGGTGCTCCCTTACAGCACTGGCAGCAACATTATGGAGGAGAGAAGGCTCTTAGCCAGCGTGATAATCGCAGTCCGTCGTAGTTGGTGAATGTTCCCCTTGAAAAAAAAAAAACAGCAGCAGCTCTTTCAATTACAATCATCCAAATCGGCCTTCGTCAATCAACCGCTGGATGAAAACCACCGCAAAGCATCGCGATCCGGCGATGCATTAAACCCACCTCACACCTGCCGTTCTCTCTCTGTCTCTGCACACCAACTGATTGCATCGTTCGATCTCTACGGTGGCTGAATTGTGGCTCCCACTCCACTCACCATCTGTCTCGGAAACCAGATGCCCTCATCCTCGCCGTCATCATCATCCCTTGCTGGGCGATGTGTCCACGAGCCCAACGATTTGCGTCATCGGGCACGTGGTTTGCCGCCTCTCATTCCACCCCTCCACGCTCATTCCGTGCACTTTCCAGATTTGGCATTCCCTTGTCATTCATACGGAACCGATCCATACATCGGAACCACTCGTCGAGACAACGCGCACGTCGATATGTAAATATGAAACTACATCAGATGTTGCTTCGTTGTCAATTTCAATTTTCCAAAAGCACTCAAACCCAGCTCTCATCCCGCCTCTATTGATATTTATTTTTCATTTTATCCAAATCTGCCTATCAATAACTGCCCTAGTTACAGCCCACACACACGGTATCTATATTGTAATAGATTACACCACAGGGCACCTGCGGCCATCTCCTTTTGCGCTGTTGCCGCTAAAGCCACGTGGCACTGACGGCTGTATTTAGACCTCGGTGTCCTGCCGTTGGCACCACCTGTAGCAGCAAATGAATCACAAAGGACCGTCGTTCTCGCTCTTTCTCTCTGGGAGCTGAGTTGATGGTGTGCGTGCGTGCGTGTTGGGGAGGGCGATACCCGTTGGGGAGCGGTAGTGTAGCGGTGAGTGCGCCGCGCTACGAACCCGGTTCGATTCTCGCTCACGGCCAACACCAGTGACGATTGTCTGAACCGGTACTGGGCCTCCTCTAGGTCGACTCAGCCTCCAATGATATAGCTGCTCAGCCCGAGCTAAACATGCTCTGATGGTGCATTGCGCTTGTACTGTTCGCCATTTGGTGTTATCTGGTCTGACACTGGTGGTGAGACTAGAACATGAAGAAGTCTACTGTCTCTGGTGTAGGCCAATTTCCAAGACAATGCCCAAACATTATACTGGTAGGAATCTCCTGGTTACACCACCAACCCACAGGGGATTATTGTGTCCGTCCGTCCGTCGTGCATCCAAAAATGGGAGGGATGGGGCTGGGTGGAGAGGGGAGGGTGGGGAGGGGCTGGGTGGGGAGGGTGGGGCTGGGTGGGGGGTGGGAGGGGTGGGGCTGGGTGGGGAGGGGCTGGTCACCCCGTGGTGCCCTTATAAAACTCAACGTTTAACCTACTCACGCCGGCTTGTGCCCGCCCTCACAGTCGGGCATATTTGCGGAATGCACCACGTGGTGCCGCCGTTGTTGATCCTGGCCATTGACCGAGCAACCCAACGTTCCTACCAGCTCCCTCCGCAGGAATGTGTTATCAGAGCATGGCTGTTTGCATGTTCACCACAAGCACTGTGTGTGGTTATTGCAAGAACTTAATTCCTTTCAAAATGTTTCTATCTAGTGTTTGAACATCTTAACACAACTCCTGTTTTTTTTTATTGCCACAAAGGGTAAACCCCCATTATTCTTTTTTTCAGTCGTGCATCTGCCAGTCATCTCGGTCAGTTAACTCGTGGCACGCAAATCTATTCAGTGACCTCCTGCCAGCGAGCCTTCGGCACGTGACCTCACACAAAATGCTTTCCACAAATGAACCCCAATACTTTGCTGATCTCATCAAAGAGCATGGACCATCGCGTGAACTCCTCGGTCATCCTCGCAACGGCTTTTGGCTAAACGTCGAACAAAGACGGCGGTCACCGCATCACGTGGCGCTTTCAGGTGCGCTTCAGCGGCCGTCTGGAACGCTCTTCCTTCCGATACGCGAAAGACACAAGAGCCGTGCTCTTTTAAGTCATTTAGATTGAAAACGCATTTCTTTGGAACTTCTCTTACGCGTTTAGTTTGCTGCCCTTCGATTAAGCGCGGTTGGCTACGTACGGTGCGAAAGAAGTTCAACGTACGTATTCGTACATACACACCTCAAAGTGCAACCTAGCCTGGCACAAGCGCCGTGGGGACGTCATCTGTCTGCCAGTCACGGCGGTGGCCACGTGGGTGTCGTCGCCTGTTACGTTGCATCGTTGCATCCCGTATTAACAACCCCTTCACTGTATATATATACACAATTGTTATCGCATCATTGAGTCACTCTTTATAGCTAACGTGCCAGATTGTGTTACCTAACGTGTGCAGTAATTACGGACTGATTAATCGATGTCTCGCTAATGCGCGCAGAGGAGACCGCGTCTTTGCGGTCCGGAGCGAGCGCGCGTTGTTGACAGGATCCTGCAAAATTTCACACGAGTGAAGTAAGCAAAGAGTGTCGCTGCTGCTGCTGCTGATGTTGATGTTGTTGTTGTACTTACTGTGCAAGCAACTTCCGGCATCACTCGCGTGTGAAATTGTTCCCGAATCAGCTGGAATGAATTGGGTTCTTTGCGGTCATTAAAAATCACTCGATTATGGCCGGGGGCGTGGGGGGATGTGGGCGGGGGGGGGGGGATGGGGGCGGGGGGCTAGGGGATGGGGACGCGGGGTGGGGGTAGGGGATGGGTGCGGGGGGGGTGGGGGTAGGGGATGGGGACGGGGGGGTGGGGGTAGGGGATGGGTGCGGGGGGGTTTTGGGGGGTGGGGGTTGGGGCGTGAGGGGGATGGGGGCCGGGGTAGGGGGTGGGGGCGTGGTGGGGTGGTGGGCGGGCGGGTGGGAGTAGGGGTTGGGACGTGGGGGCGGGGGTGATGGGGGCAGGGGGGGGGGTGATGTGTGTGGGGCTGGGCCGTGGTGGGTGGATACTTTTGCTCTAAGCTCCCTCCCGCCCCCAGTTTGAGGTTACTCATTTGAGGCTGAGTCGACCTAGAGAGAGGCCCGGGTCACCGCCAACGGCGTCGTTGGCCGTGATCGGGAGTCGAACTCGGCTCGCCCGTGTTCGCACGTGCACCGGCGGTCCCCATGTTGCAGTAGAGTCAACAGCGAATACTAATGATCAACATGAGGCGTCATGAGATACGAGACCATCCCCTCGTTGCCCCCGTCAGCAAAGCACTGGAACGTGATTGAAATTCCGTGGCATATCACGTGGGTGACCAATCGGTGAAAAGACGTAATGTTTTTTTTGTGTGTGATTGTTCATCATATTTCACAACAACCCCGATTAATATAATCACGGCTCCTCTTTGCAGATGTTTCGCAAAAACCGTGTTGCCAGCGTGGCGAAATGCAAAATGGGGAGAGAGGGGGGGGTGGTGGTGGTGAAAATAAATAGCGAGGGAGATGAAATCGTAGTAGAATTTTGGGTTTCAAAAGGGAAACAGGCAGCGCGACCCAAGCTCAAGAAGCAGTGCGGTGGCTAGGAGATGTTAACTTCCTCGCCTGGTATGCAGGAGGTCGTGGGTTTGATCCCGACCCTGACGCCTCGGTGGCTAGGAGATGTTAACTTCCTCGCCTGGTATGCAGGAAGTCGTGGGTTTGATCCCGACCCTGACGCCTCGGTGGCTAGGAGATGTTAACTACCTCGCCTGGTATGCAGGAAGTCGTGGGTTTGATCCCGACCCTGACGCCTCGGTGGCTAGGAGATGTTAACTACCTCGCTTGGTATGCAGGAGGTCGTGGGTTTGATCCCGACCCTGACGCCTCGGTGGCTAGGAGATGTTAACTACCTCGCCTGGTATGCAGGAAGTCGTGGGTTTGATCCC